GAACTTGTTGATTGAAGATGTATGGCTGTAAAGCTTGCTAGTAGTACCAAGGGTGGAGAACTTTAGTTGCCAAGGGTAAGGCAAGAACTCTGTTAAAGCTGCCTCTGGCAAAGTAGCACCCAAAGACAATATTGTCACATTTCCTTCCACACCTGTGTATATCCTGTTCTTGGCTGATCTTGGTTTATGTCTGATCTGCCTGCTGAGGTATCTCACAATGATTGAATTTTTCCAATGTTTTAAATGTGTGCTTCTTCAAACACCCGGGGCGTAACTCCTGACCATGGGACCCCATAACAAAATTTTGATGAGAACTGTTGCAGCTTCTCTCTGTGGGACCTGTCAATTTCAATACTGTATGTGCCATTGATCTGAACATAAGGTATGACTAAATAAAGAGCAGACAGCAGGGGGACTGTCTACATAGTCAGTATACTACTAGTGACCAGTGCTTTAGATAGCACTAGTCAAAGAATAGGGGGCAGCAATGTAGGGAATTCCACATTGAATGTGATTTTCCAACTATCATTACTTCATTAATAGCTCATCAGTCTTTGTCAGCATTTTTTTTTCCAGGGCTTTAGTGCTCTGGCCTTAGCCACCATGACTCAATATCTCTAATGAGACTTCTTTGAGTTCTGGCATTTTTGCAGAACTACAAACCTTAGTCTCTTCAGGTCAAAGCTGAGGAGACTTTTGACTGCATTAGGCACACAGTGTTAATTTATCTGGTGGGCTGCAGAAGATGTTTTCAGGGCAATAAGTCTAAAATTCCAAGACAGCCAAACAAATGTTCACACCAGTGAACTAGTGAATTACTGGCTCGAGTAGGGGAATACATCGATCATTTCCTACAGCCAGTTGTTATTAAAACAAAGGCGTATTTGAGAGATAGCAAGGATATGCTTAAAAGAGAATTATGGGGTAAGTGTGTTCCCCCATAGTTCTCTTTAGGGTCACGGGAGGACAGATACTAGCCTCCTCCCGTGACCTAAAGCTCGGCATAACAGCAAAAAAGCTGGTTATGAGTTGATGAGTGAGTTTGCCATTTGTTTTGCTTGCCAAAGCTCAGTATATCCTGTGATATACTGCACATATATCATGGGCTATACTGCACATAGTTCTCCTTTAATATTCTTAATAACAATGATTCCACAACAGATCTGATTCTGGGGACGTTAGATGTGATTTCCTTTTTATTAATATATGCCATGAAAAGGGAATTGAAGCAATTAGATGGGCATTGGAGAAATCAGGAGAATTGAAGACAGAACAGATAGAATTTATTATGAACTCCACAGATTTCGCCATGAGGAAGAGTTATTTCTGGTACAAAGGGGAGTTCTTTATCCAGACCAAAATTTGTCCCCAGCTTGGCCAACCTATTCATGGTGAAATGGGAGGAGGAAGCAGAGGCGTTCTGAGGCGGGGTGACACCCAGTGCAAGTACCGCGTGACACCCCTCAGTGACATCATTGTGCACGCGTGTGATAACGTCACGCACTGTACAGCTGTTACCTGCTGGCGGCCATCTTGGTGATGGACGCAGGCAGAGAGAGGAGGGGACGTCACCCGGCAGGATAAGGTATTCCGCCGGGGTCCCCTACTCTCTCGAGCAACTGTTGGGCTCTCTCTGCCCGACTTTTCAGAGGGGGTGACATCAAAATTACTGTCAGTCATTTTGGTGTCACCCCTCCAATGGTGTCACCCCCTGCACCCCGCTTGTGACGCCACTGAGAAGAATTTCTCCCACAAAATGGGAGAGATTAACATTATGGAAAAAATATTTGGATGACGTGCTGTTTATTTGGAAGGGGGGACCAGACACACTGAAAGTTTTCTTGGATATATTGGATAACAATAATTGTGGCATTTCCTTCACAAAAAAGATAGTAGGCAATAAGATTGACTTTCTAGATTTACATATACAGTATCTATACAGGAGGGTAGCATCTGCCCTAGTACGTTTTTCAAAACCACAGATAGAAATGGCTTCATACCAATCGAGAGTTGTCTTCATCCTCGATGGTTAAATAACTTTCCCAAAAGTTAATTTGTTCCTATCAGGAGGGACTGTACTTTACAAAAAGATTGACATGAACCATAATGTGTCGAAACACTTAAAATGTTTCCACAACAAAAACCCCAAAGGGTTTGAAAGTTGTGGGAATAGATAAGGTAACCAAACATTGTAGAGGGTGCAATCTAAAGAAAAATATATCCCAAAATGAGTCCAAATGGATTTTTGCCCTCAGAACAAAAGGATTGAATGTGGAATTCGATTTGAATTGCTTCCTTAATAACAGCTAATATACTTCTTTGTAGGCAATAATATTTTATAACTTTTACATAGTTCATAGGTTGGCATACATCTATAGTTCACATGATAGCAGATGCATTAGTATTTTCTAATTATATATGTTTACTGCAAGTTCAGATGGAATATTTTTATTAAGAATTGTAGTGAGGTTTATGATTTGTACTGGATATTTCGCTTTGAGCTCCTTTGTAATTAAGATTCTTATAACCCCTATTATACATATTCCATGCGATGTGAATGTGGGATATCCTGCTCAGAGCTTCTCTGCAATTGGATTATTGTCGGTCATTCAGCTTTGAGCTCCTACGATTAATTATTGACCTTCCAATTTCCATCTTGTAAGTGAGGCAATTAATGATTCTCAGCCTTCACGCTGTCCCGACGAAGTCATTTGGACATCTGGTGAATGCGGATCTCATCTATTATCTAGAATGTGGATCATTTTCAAGCACGGAGCACCTTAGAAGACTTTACACCCACTTTTGGATTTTTGCTTATGAGTTATGGACATTTATATTTTTTAAGGACATATACTACGCATTTATCTATGCATTCATAATTTTAATGTGAGTAGATAATTTTCAAGCATGGAACACTTCAGAAGATTGACACATTGTGGTATACGGTTGTCTGTGTCTAACATAGGACATACACCCATTCATCTATATTTATACACTTAATATGTTTATCACGGTATCATGCTTTTGATGCGATTGCCTCATGGTTAAGATTTAATATTTATCATCTGTTAATTATTGTTTGTCACTGGACTGCAATACTCACTTGAGCCCAGTGTATTCTTGGATCTATATACATATAATAGGTATAGCCTAAAAATAAATACACTTCAACCTTCCTCAGGTTGCAACAATGATGTCAGATAATCTGGATGGCATACACTGCACAAGCATCAAATGCTCACGTACTCACATCATGACTCAATGTCATTCGCATGTTTAGAGATTGCACACTTGTGAAAAAGTGTTGATTGTGCTAATATGTGCACTCATAAACCCAACTTAGGGGTCTATTCACAAAGCTACCGAAGGATCTAGGATCTAGGCATATGCTTCGGCTCGACTGAGCCCAGGGGAAATTCGAAGCTGGCCGACAACCTGCTTCTGACAGCTGGGCTGAGCCAGCCGTCATGTCACAGCTGGCTCCGACCAGTTGCAGAGAGATCAGCGTCCCTGGTTACCAGGTAACCAGAGACGCCGTTCTATCATTGCACTGAGAACACGTTGGAGCCGCTGTAAAATTACAGCAGCTCCGCCGGGTTCTGTGTGTAATAACAGAAGGCGTCCCTGATTACCTGGTAACCAGGGACGCCTTCTGTCATTACACTGCAGCTCCTCAGTACACTGAGAACCCGGTGGAGCCGCTGTAAAATCACAGCAGCTCCGCCGGGTTCTGTGTGTAATAACAGAAGGCGTCCCTGATTACCTGGTAACCAGGGACGCCTTCTGTCATTACACTGCGGCTCCTCAGTACACTGAGAACCTGGCGGAGGATGTGTAAAATCACAGCGGCTCCTCAGGGTTCTCATTGTGTAATGACACATGGGCATCCCTGGTTACTTGGTAACCAGGGATGCCCATGTGTCATTACGACGAGAGCTTAGGAGAGCCGGCAGTGATATGAAAGCCGACTCTGCTAAGCTCTCATCTTAATGACAGAACAGCGTCTGCTGGTTACTGGGTAACCAGCAGACGCTATTCTGTCATTAGAATGAGAGCTTAGCAGAGCCAAAAGAAAACAGTTGGGCGGAGTTAGCTGTCACTGCTAGCTCCGCCCAATCGTTATCAATTTTTTTTTCTACTTTTTTACTGTTTTTCTATTCTGCTCGGTACCACAAAGGTACCGAGCAGAATAGCCGAGCTGAATGCAGCTCAGCTTTGTAAATAGACCCCTTAATCTTAATCTAATGTTACACTGACAATATTTATAAACCATATTCCCACTTGGGGTCCCTGGTTCAAACCCCGGCCAGGACACTATCTGCAGGGAGTTTGCATGTTCTCCCTGTGCTTGTGTGGGTGTCCTCCCACACTCCAAAGACATGTTGGTAGAGTAATTGTCCCTGTATGAATGCATGTGAGATAAGGACCTTAGACTGTAAGCTGCTTGAGGGCAGGGACTTATGTGAATGTGCAACTATGTAAAGTGCTGCATAAATTGTCAGCGCTATAGAAATACCTGTAATCAATCAAAATATGTGTACCAAAATTATTTGCTTCTAAATTAAAGCCCTATCTGTCCAGAAATAAATGCATGTTATAAAACATTAGTGTAAACTACAAACCCTAAAAGATACACTGTGCGGAAATGAAAAAAAAAAAAAGAAATCTCAGGATTCTAAGGTGAGAAAGGCATCAAGTGGTTAAGCTATGTATGGTCACAGTGCAGTTGCCTTGTCTATAATGGAATGAGACACCAGAGACAATTTTGCTGCAGAATAAAGCATTGTTTTACTGAAGCTTACAGCTCAGGACAGAGTCCGGGTACATAACCTTGGCGGTTACAAATAGAATCATTTCTTAAGCAGTTGCAAGCCTATAGAAAGATGAAAGATCAAGACATTGAAGACCTTAAAGTGTACCAGTAGCGGAATAAAACTTTGTAACCTACTAATAAGAAGCAATTATAGGAACCTCTAGTGTGCTCTGAGTGTAGGGGCTCCTAGAGTATCTAGGTGAAAGCTTGTACTGCATGCAGGAACACTGTTGGTGCCTGCCATCAATTTCCAATATCAAATCACAAAGTTTTACACACTGAAGGTTTGCTTTAAGGAAGATTAGTATTGAGTAATAAATGACCAGCATGCTGGTTTTGGTTCTGCCACCCTACTTGCATTGGGTACACACTGCTCAATATGTCGTCTTGTAAGACGTTGCCCTGTTCACCTGGCGCTGGAAACCCATGGGCAGGCTACCCTCACTTACAGCTACATTGGGACACAATGGAGACTGGGACTAGCTAGTTGAAAACATGGCAGCCCCAGCCCTACAACCACCTTCTTAGCAACATTCCATTGTGGTGAGCTGGTGCAACCTGCAGCAGAGAGAAAACAAGAAGGAAAGAAGAGGAGTTGACCTCCAGCATGCTGGGCAGGATCAAAGTAAAGCAGATAACTAAATGATTACACAGCTTTGCCGGCTCTGCAATCCATCAATCTTTCTTCTTTTATGTGCATGAGAACTTGGTATCCTTATCAACCCGACTTCCTGGCAAGTTAGTAAGGTCGACTAAACAAGTACCGGTGGTGATACAGCCTTGAAATGCATATGGCTTGTCAATGTCATCTGCAACAAAGGAAAATAAATGTATAAAGTAGAAATTTTAGTAAAGGCACAAACATTCATTCTAAACATTAACATGCTAAAGTCATGTTGTAGGAGACTAAAGGCATGATTCCTAACCTGGTCCGAACCTGAGCTCGTCCCAACAGAGAAGGAAGCTCCATCTGCTGCCCACTTAGCTGTGGTTGGGGAAAGTCTATATTTGGTCAAAGACATTTAATGATGTCATAAAGCATCTTGTTTCTGTTTCTGTGCAGCTTCGGGCAGGGAATGTTCCTCCCCACAGCTGAATGGGTGGGTAGCCCCATCTTGCTTCTGGGTTTGGAAGAACTAATTTTCGGACTAGGTGTGGTCCAGCCCTCAGCTCATCCCTAGTAGAAATTACTGTTATTAAGGGCCCTTACAAATCAATGCTTCCAGTCAGGGCCGGCCTCAGGCCTTTAGGCGCCCTGTGCAAGAAAGCTTTACAGCGCCCCTCAGTGACCACACGCCTCAGTAATCACACCCCTCAGTAACCACACCCATTTTTTTCCAATAAAGACTCCCATTTTGTTAAGCCCCAAAGAAACATATTATAAAGTATGATAAAAATAAAACTTTTATTCAAAGCTATTAAACTTTGTAGGCACAATATAGGTATTCTTATTACATAAAACAACAGAAGGTAAACAAGTGGTAAACAATAAATGTCAAACTAAAATAGAGTCTATAAAAAAAAAAGTGTCAGGCTGTCATGCCGACCATTTTTTCAAATAGGTGCATCTAGAAAAGTAAAAATAAAAAACAGAACACAAAACCTAGACTACATGTTAAATGAATTAATTAATATATGTACGAATATACGAAGAATGTATTCAGGCACATAATCATTTGTTTGAGAATGTGCGGCGGCCATGTTGGCCACCAACACGTTCTGCGAATGCGGGCCACCATCTTGGAGGCGGGGAGCATGACGTTACATGCGGTCTTGCATGCGTGACGTCAGGTGACATCACACGCCGATATATGCGCCGCCATCTTGGTGTATACCTAGATATACACCAAGATGGTGGCGCCCAACACGTGCGGTGTTATATGACGTCATGCGCCCTGACTCCAGAACACTCCAATTGCTGAATCCAAAATAGCATAAAAATTAATTTTGCTTGATGAAACGAATGAAAACGTTTTTAGTTTTCGTTCATTTCATCTGAAATTATTTAGATTATTTTTTATTAATTTTTTACTATTGGGGGGCTTCTGGGAAATATCTGACCCCTGACATTTACCTTTTAAAATAGAAAATAGATTGAGGACGCAAAGTCCTCAATTTCTTTTTCTGCATCCTCTGTTCTAAATAAATGGAGAGCACTCCGTACAGAGGCTTCCCATTCATTCAGACACTGATGATAGTAAAATATTTTACTACCACCAGTTTCTGAATGGGGAGGAGCCGCTATACTGAGTGCTACTCCCCATCCAGAAATTCTGCTATAAGCTCATTGTTGCTCCAGTCACCATAATCTTATAGCAGAAGAGTCCTCCTAACTCTTCTGTGTAAATAGCTGTCATCAGTGGGTGGCAAGCTGTTGCAGAGCATGATGCAGGGTGAGGGAACAACAACTATGTGAAATATTTATGGTGTGAATTGGTTCTAACTCAATGCAGTTTAATCTTTTAGATTTAGTAGGAATCTTGCACATTATGTTTTTTTGTGTGTGTGCGTGCACTGGGCCTGGAAGCGAAAGGGTTAAATGAATACCTTTTTGTGTGTGTGTGCCTTCAAACACTTGAGCTGGTGTGTGTGTGTTAGCATGCATGCATGGGTTCAAGGATGGTAACATTACCTGGACGAGCTGCAATGCCTGAGAAGTTGAAGCACTGGAACTGCATGCAGGCACACTCAACGGTTCCGAAATCTGTGCATTTATCGCTGCCCTCCACAAAACAGCTTGGGCATGAATGACCATTCTTTGTTAGGTTCAATTGTGGCACTGGACATTGCAGAAAAAGTCATTTTAAGAAATCAGAAAAACTGCAGCAAGCAACAGTAAGAAACCTCCCTACGCCCTCCATTGATGGACACACAGGAACCCGGGGTTGCTTTACTATGATCATTCCATAATTCCATAATTAACATATGGTACCGTGTAACGCAACTACCACACGTCAACAGTGTGGGAGGAATGTTGCCTTGCCATTCATTGGAATAGCACCCCAAATGCACCTCTCACCCACAATGCAATCAACCGTGCTGCAACCATGCATTGCCATTGAATAAATAAATATGCATGCACTAATTTTTTTTAATCACAATGCACACTATTGCAGTACTGTCGCATTGTAGGCGGGAGGTGCGCTTGGGGTGCCATTCAAATTAATGGCAATGCAGCGTTCCTCACCGCACTGTTAACGCATGGTAGGTGTGAACAGGCCCTGAAAGTAAATTTTCACTCTGTAGAGAGGATTTTCACTTTATCTTAGTAAAAGGTAAAACAGTTATGCACAGGGGTGTATAGCCCCCCTGCTGTCCTGGGGGGGAGGGGGGTGTGCTGCTGGTGGCACATGAGAAGGTGAGGGGATGGCAGTGTTGAGACTGGGGGGGACCTGGGATGCTCTGGCAGGAGCCCAGCTCCTGGCAACCAGTGACATTAGTGAGTTGGGCAGGATGCCGGCCAGAGCGTCCCAGGTTGCTAAGTTCTGAGTGGGGGGATATTTGTGGCCCTTACACAATCTTGGTCTTAGTAGCAACCCGGGATGCTCTGGCCAAAAATTGGGCTGCATGCACAATGCAAACATTATGCAGCAGAGAGGCCATGCCACTTTGCCTGTCCCCCTCCACGTGACCCAATGAGATGCTGCTTGAGGCAACTGCCTCAGACTAACTCATTATAGGGAGTTTGCAGACCCTGACACCCTGACACTAAGTAAATTCATACTTACTTTGGATCCCTCCTGTGTTACAACCGTCTGAATCATCACAACATGTTGAGAACAAGACATACTGAAACTCCTCTGTAGTATTTAGAAACATCGGTTGATTACAAATTAGCTTTTGATCTTTAGGCATGCATCTCTTCCTGACTGTTTGTCTATTATCTCCTCCTAAAGGAAGAACAAAAGTTGGGAATGTATAATTCTATATGTTATGGTCATGACTAAAATATCAAATTGTATGAGAAAGAAAGAGTAGAGAGAGAGAGAGAGAGGGAGAAGAGAGAGAGAGAGAGGGAGAAGAGAGAGAGAGAGGG